GGAGCTCTAGAGAAGTGTTTGAGAGCTCCCCCCCTTGGGGTGTGTTTACAAGCTTAGAGAACATCCCTATTTATAGGCCTAGGGGAAGTGAAAATTTGAATTCAATATGGCTAATGCATACAACACTTGTATTATAAAATCTTGAATTGGTTGATGCACTTGTATTAGAAAATTAGAATTGGTTGATGACTCATCTTCATGTCACCATGACCAAGCTTCCAACCAGAAACAATAGCTCATCCTGAGGTCAGCATGACCAGCAACTTCAAGGGCTTACAAATTGGGCTTCTCTTAAGCAAATGACGACTTTAAGTACTCCAAATTGAAGTTCTGAATGTGTCTGATCCAACCACACAAGTATTGGCCCAATCCAAGCTCGGATGAAGAAGTTAAGGCCAAAACAAATTGTTAACTCGTTTTGCTCGCTGACAAAAATCCATCCTCAGCATGGGTCTGTGTTTGCTAGGTAACGGACTCCAGATTTATCCAATGAGGCTGAAATTTGGATATGTAATAGTACACACCCATTGGAACAACTTTCATGAAGGATGCTGCCTCATCCGCGCTGTGTAGGTTGCTGAAACAAAGCTTGCAATATGACCTACGGAACTGGACTGGCAAGGGGCTGTAGCCAAAAATGAGTTTATCTTTAAGCTCTTCTTCCCTTCATCCAAATTAGGCCTTAACATGCTTGAATTGCATGAATTATGCTCTCATGCTCCTTTGGCCTACAAAACACACAAAGGGAGGCAAATAACTCAAAATTATAGGAAACTAAGCAAAAGAAGTAAGTAAATTTGGGCATGTATATGTATGAATTATGAGCTTAACACGTGGGGCGGCACGTGGGCAGTCCGGCACAGGTCACATTTTGTCCTAGAATGATCCTTACGTTGTCACGAGCGTGTAGGAGTTTACGGATCTCAATTTGGATATCGTTTGGGCCTCGAACGAATTTGACATAATATGTGATTTTTGGGTTTGATGTGTTTGGACCGTTGGATCAAACCCAATTTCACATATGTTGTTCCTGGCATTACTAGGATCGTATAGGAATTTGCGGATCGTGAATCGGAGCCCCGGATGTTCCAATTCTCCAACTTAAAGTTTTAACTGTCCGGTTGACCGAGTGTCTTCCGAGACTTTTCTAGCGCTTGGAACCTGTATTTGGCCATTAGAGACGTCTCGTTCCTCATAATTAAGAGAAACCCGAGAAATTAGGATTTTTACTTTAAAGTCTCATTTTTGAAGAGTTGGATTTTAATATCATGTTCGTATTTTGAAATAGGTAATCCGACTCCGCCTTCAGAGCAGGCAGGACCCTCTCGGGGTCACGCAGCTTGGGATTACTTGTGAGTGGACTTTGTTTTCAAATAAATTGCATGAATTTTATGATGAAGTTTCTATGCATAAGAATTTAAGGGTTTATGGAAATTCATTTTATACTTATTATTCGAAACTAATATTTTTATAAGGTATGGGTGTTATGTTTGGGTTTTAGACATATTCAAGTATCTTGAATTATTTATGCATACTATTTGGGAAAGTACTTTATGTTGAGTTTATGTGGGGGTACTTGGAATTGGTTGTAAGGCATGGTAAGATGCGAGAGTAGAAAGTCAATTGGGAGTGCTGTAAGCACTACCCTGTGTACCTCCCTTGATATGGATTGTGGAAATGGAAATCTGGGATACTTGTAAATGTCGGAACCCGGGGCATACCTTAACGGGGTGTCGCTGTAGACCCTTAATTGGGTAGTCTGCGCGAGTAGGACGGTTCCAGGCATACGGGTCTTGATTCTTCGTCCGTACGTGCTGGGTTAGAGTATCAGTCCCCCAGTTGGACGACTCATCCCTAGCCACATGGATGTTTGAGGCCAGATAAGTGTGAGCTAGTCAACAATTCCCTGTTGGATTGTTTCCCTGGTACAATTAGATGTGTCATATACTTATGTTATATCTCTTATGTTATATATATAGCTATGCATTTATTCTTGTTTTTGAGCGAGGATACTTCCCCGCTCGTCGTGCCGGTGGGCACGTGTTTCGAGAGTTTGATTTGAGATTTGTAAGGAAAAGTTTGGTTGAGTTTATAGTTTTAATGGATTTCGGATTTAGCTCGGGTTGAGCAAACTGTATATATATATATATATATATATATATATATATGACTATGATGGATTTAATACATTGGTTTCATGCATAGTTTTCTAATGGTGGGGTTATATTACTTTGGTTTAAATTGAACTAAACTTGTTTTGTCCACTCACAATTTTCTGTTTTGCGCCCCACAGCCAGTAGTTGACTAGAACGAGCTGCAGTGCCGTGTTTTGTGCCCCTGCTATCACGAGCCGCTGTACTTGAGCTTTCTCGGAGCCTCAGTGCTATGTAAATTCATAATACTTCATTTTTGCTGGTTTATTAATTTCTGTTAGATGCTCTGTTATTGCCCTGTATAGGATTTGGTATTTTGAGGCCGGAGGCCATGGTCTGTAACACTATACTTTGTGTAATGCATGCTGGTTGTTGGGTTGTAAATATCTGTGTTTTTGACAGGTTTGAAATTTGGGTTTTGTCCTGTTTACAGGGGAGACTCTGCCAAAATTTTGGTAGAAAGTCTCGGGTTTTAGTAAGTGGGCCCGGCATTTGTAGGATGTCGGATATTAGACGGGATCCGTCTCGGTTTCCGAGGAAATTTGGGGCGGGTCCTGTCAAGTAGTAACTATGGTTATACTCATAACCAACCATTTCCCTACCCTTCATATCCCATTCCTGTTGGGATGGAATCAAGGGACTCATGGAAAGAATCCGAGACTCAATCTTCAAATGATTTTGCTTATGGACAACGTCAACCAATCTCGGATCCATATGGGTGGCATGTTAACAATGCAAAACTATTTTGGGGATTTATCATTTGATGACTACTCTTCACAATATACTTACTCTACACATAGAGATTATGAAGATAGTGAAAATTTTGAACCTCATAGGAACTCTATGTGGTACTAAGTCACTCATGTATCTTACCATGCAATGTATAAAGTGTAAAATATTGTAGTAATTCATTAGATACAAATGATTATAGTGTGTTTAATCTTCTTTCACTAATTACTACATATTTTCTACACTTACAGTGTTTGCCAGCTCGTTATACAATCAACTTAAATCAGTTAAATCCATCATGCAATGCATTTTCTTCCAATTTTTTGTTATAAACTAATAGATAATTGACTAAATAAGCATCCTGCAAAGTTTCAATAAAAATTTCCAAGTTTTTCTTACAATTTTCGTGGTTTTTATTCACTTTTTACCGATACCGATAATATCCCGATATTTCCATCGACATTTTCGTGTTTTTGGATTTCCGATATTTCCGATACCATCGATATTTTAGACCTTGGTTGTAGCCTTTCTACAATGTGTGATTATTTTTGTGGATCATTTTGTAGCTTTGTGCAAGTCAAGTCAAGTCAGCTAGTACAATTGCTAAACTAAAATCTGATCTAGCTTAATTACTCTCTGCAGGCAACTGCTTCTCTTTCTTGGTCCATGTAAATATATGTAATGCTTTAGTGTGCTAAGCCTAACTTACGTGATATTATGTTAGTATTTCAGAAGTTGTTTGAAAGTTTTTTTAGATCAGAAACACTACAGAACAATCCATTATTCTAGGGGTGGGCATTATTATCGAAAACCCAACCGAACCGGCCGAATCGGACCGTTTTAGGTGGTTTGGTTCGGTTTTTATACTAAAAAATCAATGAACCGGCAGAAAAACCGGCTGAACTGGCTCTGAACCGGGTTGGACCCCTTTTTTTTACTCCAAACCGTCGAAAACCAGACCGAACCGAGTATTTTAATTATATTATTAATTAAACAAAATAATACACGTGTCAGCGGATGATTAATGGCTTCATTGGCGTATCGTACTCCTACCTACACCAAATTATGCGAAACCCTAACATCTGAAGGGCTTCGAAATGTTTTCTCATTGTGCCTCTTTCTTCTTCCTCTGTCACCTGACTCTCTCGCCTCTACCGCTCTCAATCACTCTCGCATGAGTCGCCTCTGCATCTCTCTCAATCACTCTCGCCTGACTCAGGCGGCCTGAGTCGCCTCTGCCTTTTTTTTTTTCCAAATTTTCTCAGCCGATCTCTCAGTTTCTCTCTCACCCGCTCTCTCTCATCACTTGACTCTCTCAGTGACTCAAGTTCCTCTTCTTCTTTTTTCCAGATTTTCTCACCCGATCTCTCAGTCACTCAGTCTCTCAGTCACTCACTCTCTCTCTCTCTCTCTCTCTCTCTCTCTCTCTCTCTCACTTGCTCTGACTGTCATCTCCCTCAGCCAATTTCTACATGGTTCTCTCTCAGCCACTCTCGCTCTCTATCAGCCGCTCTCTCTTAGTCTCTCTCGCTCTCTCTCAGTCATTCTGAGTCTCCCTCTCTCGATTATTGTCGGTTCGAGGTATGAATATGTGTAAACCCTAATTAAAAAATTTAGGGATTTGACAATTTTTGTTAATTCTATTTATCTGATCTGACTCTGTTGTGATTTGTTGTGGACAGAATTGATTTTGGGATCATAGGAAACGATTGGCTTGCTCTAGGTAATTTCTGGTAATTTTTGTTGTTGTTGCTGTTTGATTTATCATTTATTTCTGGTGTTGTTGTTGTTATTGTTCTTCAAATTCAATGAAAGCTTGAATTTTTTTGAAAGTTTATGGGTATTTTTCTTTCTAGTTGAGATTTTCTGGAAAAATTCTGGGCACCTGATTTGTCTGTTGCTTATTTTGTTGGTTTTCTGCCGATTTGCTTGTATTTTGTGACTGGTAGCTCCTCAGTGATCATCCAATTGTAATTTGTGGGTTTTCATTTATTATATGTTGTGAAATCTTGGGTTTTATGGATCTGGGCTTGCTATTTTTGTGAAGTTGATGGGGTGCTGATTAAGGGATATTTTGTCAGTTTTTTAAAGGAGCAGAATGCATATGGGATTCGTATCTTGATTCTGTTGAGTTGAAATTTTGCAGCATAGTTGATTCAATTGGTAGAGAATATATGTAGTGGCCAAGTTGGAATTAAGTGATGTGATTCAAATTGCTGCTCATGGCATGGATTTCTATGAGGATATGTTCTCTCTCATTTGTTATTAATTCATATATTTATTAATTGTTTTTTTTTGTTTGTGTGCAGAGGTGCAAATTTGATTTGAGGAGTGTAGAACTCATGGAATTGTTTGTGCATATGTAATGGAAATTTATTTGTTTTCATTTGGATTTTCATTTGAACTTTGCAAATATGCAGATTGTGATTGAGATTACTCTCACAATCTGAATTGGTCTGTAATAATTATTGGATTATTCGGACATGTGTGGTGGATGATGATTTTTTTAGGTTATAAGGGTTTTTTTAAGTATTTGAATGATGATAAACTTTAGATATGCAAAGCTGGAGAAACTGGAAAAACAGAATGGGCCTGGAAAACTTTAAAAGAAAAAAAGGGCCTGGAAAACTTTAAAAAAAGGGATGGGACTGGAAAACTTAAAAAAAAAACACTTTCAATTCTTGCTGTTACTGGACTTCGGCATACATCCGAATCGAACCAACCTGACCCGCCAAATTCGGGTTTCGATTTCAGGCGAAAATGGGCCTAATACATAGGTGCACGGTTTACCATTTGGGCCTACCGACTTGGCCAGTTCGGCGTACGGTTTGGGCCCATAACCGGCCCGACCTGACCCATGTGCAGCCCTACATTATTCAGTAATATGACACTGGATATATATAATAAAAAAGTTAATACAATGCTAACAAAGTGTTGGGGTCCATTTAACAATATTATTAAAATGATTCGACTAGTTATTTTTTAGGTTGTGAATCAAATATCATCTTTACAAGAAGTTAGTCAAGTTTGAAAACATTCATCAGTCATCTAATTGTACAAAAATAAATTAGACGAACACAATACTTCTATAAACAATAAAAAAATTCAAGATAATAATTAAATGAAGAAACGATTTTTGATGTGGCTAATATTTTTCTTATTAGCCTACAAACCGAGTTAAGCATAGAGCCATTGAAATTTATATCTCCAAATAAATGATTCTGGTCCACTCCCATCAACTTGGCAATAAATTAGTCTATATATTATTTTCAAGCAAATACACTATTCTCTCCGCTAAAGTCAAAGGAAATTTCCTTTCAGGTGATGACTAATGAAATTTTCAAAAGGAAGACTTTTAAGTCTAGTGAAGCAAGAATCCAAGTCTAAGCAGTCAATGTAGAGGAAGACTTTGAAAATACACTTACACAATAGGCCAAAAGAATCCACGCGCATGGAAAGAAAATTATGTCTGATTGTTCTCATCCTATTCCCAAAGAAAAGAAGGACAAAAGAAAAAACAAACAAAGAAAGTGCAATGAGAATAATACAGTTGTTCCACAATAGTCAACTTACGCTTCTCTCCAACCCACTCCTCAAGTCGGGAAATATTTTCAGCAGTAATGATTATTTGGACTTCATGGAAGCAATTTGAGTCCCACATATATATTTAATGATAAAACATGTTACCTTTTATCTTTATTTAAATTATTTGAAAAAATAACAGAATTGTAAGAAAAGACTGATGAGGTTTCAATCATGGTATTAAATGTCGATATTATCCCGATAATATCGGATTTTTGGGGGATTAATATCAGATTTTTGGGAGGCCGATATTTTCGCAACAAACCATAGTGTTATCGTCAATATATCGATATTTTTATCGATATTATCCCCGATATTATTATCCCGATAATATCGGGACGATAATATCAACATTTTTATGAATGATTTGGGCAATATATGGCGATATTATCGATAATATCCCAATAATATCGCGATACGAAACCCAAAAATATTTATATACATGGTTTTTGTGAAAACCATTTTACTCCTTCAACATTAATTACTACAATTTTTAACGATACCGATAATATCCCGATATTTCCATCGACATTTCCGTGTTTTTGGACTTCCGATATTTCCGATACCATCGATATTTTAGACCTTGGTGAAAAGTAGTCATCAAATGATAAATCCCCAAAATAGTTTTGCATGTAATTGTTAACATGCCACCCATATGGATCCGAGATTGGTTGACGTTGTCCATAAGCAAAATCATTTAAAGATTGAGTCTCGGATTCTTTCCATGAGTCGCTTGATTCCATCCCAACAGGAATGGGATATGAAGGGTAGGGAAATGGTTGGTTATGAGTATAACCATAGTTACTACTCATCTCATGTGAAAATTTGTTTATTGCAAAAAGAATTCAAAACAAAACTATGTATATATATATATAAATATTTTAGCATATTTTCACAAAAACATAAGTGATATGGTGGTTAAGGTGTTGAAGGAGTAAAATGGTTTACACAAAAATCATGTATATAAATATTTTTGGGTTTCGTATCGCGATATTATCGGGATATTATCGATAATATCGCCATATATTGCCCAAATCATTCATAAAAATGTTGATATTATCATCCCCGATATTATCGGGATAATATCGATAAAAATATCGATATATTGACGATAACACCATGGTTTGTTACGAAAATATCGGCCCCCCAAAAATCCGATATTATCGGGATAATATCGACATTTAATACCATGCTCTTCACAATATACTTACTCTACACATAGAGATGATGAAGATAGTGAAAATTTTGAACTTCATAGGAACTCTATGTGGTACTAAGTCACTCATGTATCTTACTATGTAATGTATAAAGTGTAAAATATTGTAGTAATTCATTATATATAAATGATTATGGTGTGTTTAATCTTCTTTCATTAATTACTACATATTTTCTACACTTACAGTGTTTGCCAGCTCGTTATATAATCAACTTAAATCAATTAAATCCATCATGCAATGCATTTCCTTCCAATTTTTTGTGATAAACTAATAGATAATTGACTAAATAAACATCCTGCAAAGTTTCAATAAAAATTTCCAAGTTTTTCTTACAATTTCCGTAGTTTTTATTCAATTTTTACCGATACCGATAATATCCCAATATTTCCATTGACATTTCCGTGTTTTTGGACTTTCGATATTTCCGATACCATCAATATTTTAGACCTTGGTTGCAGTAAGTACACGAAGTTGTCGGCTTTGGTGAAGTTATATAATTTGAAAGCAAAACATGGGATGAGTGATGTTTGTTTTACAGAATTATTGATACTTCAAGGAGAATTGCTTTTAGTAGGAAATACACTACCTTCCTCTATGTACGAGGAAAAAAGGACTTTGTCTGCTTTAGGGATGAGTTATTAGAAAATCCACGCATGTCCCAATGACTACATTTTGTATCAGAAGGAGTATGAGGATTCAACTAATTGTCCTAATTGTGGTATCTCAAGGTGGAAGGAAACCAAAGATGGGTTCTTGAAAAAGGGTGTGGCAACGAAGGTGGCGTGGTATTTTCCTCCAATTCCAAGGTTTAAAGGGATGTTTTAATCACATAAGACAGCTAAGAGTTTGACTTGGCATGCTGCAAGAAAATCAGTTGACGGTCATATGTCTCATCCAGCGGATTCCCCGTCTTGGAAACTTGTTGATGATAAATGGCCCGACTTTGGTAATGAGCCAAGAAACTTGAGATTAGCTCTCTCATCTGATGGATTCAATCCCCATAGTTCTTTAAGTAGCAGATACAGTTGTTGGCCAGTTATCTTAGTTACATACAATCTCCCATCATGGCTATGCATGAAGCGGAAGTTCATGATGTTGACCTTATTGATTTCCAGTCCTAAATAGCCCGGAAATGATATAGACGTCTACTTAGAGCCTTCGATTGATGATTTAAAATCTCGGTGGGATGGGATTAGAGGAGTGTATGATGCCCACATAGGAGAATACTTTACACTCAGAGTTGTATTACTGTGGACAATTAATGAATTTCCTGCCTATGGAAACTTATCTAGTTGTGTCGTTAAAGGTTATAAAGCTTATCCAATATGCGGCAATGATACACCTAGTCACAGGTTAAAAAATTGCCACAAAATTTGTTACATTGGGCATAGAAAATGGTTACCAATCAATCATCCATAAAGGAGGCAACGTGTAGCTTTTAATGGGAAACTTGAATATGGCATGCCTACCGAGCCATTAACTGGAGAAGAAGTGCTGCATATGGTTGAAGATATTAATTACATACGGGGCTCGAAAAATGGGGGAAGTGTTGGTGAGAATGATGGGGGCTATCATATAAGAGCTATCTTATTAATGGTGTCAAATTTAACACCAAGGCACAAGATGATGTGCGAACTGTCCAAAATAGTGGAGTTTATTTACTTGCACATACTATGCAAGTTGCTAGTGCCAAGGATAAAAACCCTATTGTCTCCAATATGGGTTTTTATGAGGTTATTCAAGAAATTTGGGACCTTGACTACCAAAAGTTTAGAATCTCAGTCTTGAGGTGTGATTGGATAGATAACACTTCGGGCCTTGTAGTCGACGAACTTGGATTTACCCTTGTAGATCTGAGTAAAATTGGACATAGGAACGACCAATTTGTTATGGCTTCTCAAGTCAAACAAGTATTTTATGTTGACGACCCAATGCATCGTGGTTGGTCGGTAGTGTTATCAATGCCTAATAGAGAATATAATGATGTTATTGGTGATGATGTGCTAGGTGATATTAGAATTGAGTGTGAGCCATTTACCAGAGGGATATCAAATGTTGACACATTTGATGACCTAGTGGGTGAGTTTGGGAGTGACAATATTGGAGATGGGTGTGAAGATATATGGATTGATTGATTGTTGTAATGTATGACATTAGTTATACAGTTAATTGTATGACATTAATTAATAGGTCTGTATATCATTTTAATTCCGATCACATTTTCATTCTGCAGGCTTTGGGCACGACAAATCAAAAATTAAAAATAATGGGTTAAAGCTGAAAATACGACGGTCAAGTTACAAAAATCGCAAAAAGAGACGTCTAAAAAATAACCAACGTCCGGTTTTCACAAACGACGTGGAATGCCAACGCAAAAATGAAATAAAAACCGCCATTTGAAAAAGAAAACACGTCGGTTAATTAAAATTAATTTAAACACGGTTAATAAATATTAACAACAACGACGGTAAAGAAAATAATCAACGACGTACACTAAAGAATAACACGACGGAAGAGAGCTCAAACCGACGAATTTAAGGATACCATCGATTGATGATTACCGTCGTAAAAACAATGTTGCACGTCAGTTATAATAAAACAATTGACGTCTCGGAGAATACACACGTCAAAAAAGGTTATAAAAGGGACTTAACAAAGACTATCCACGTCATGCAATAAAAAAACCACCGACGTAGTAAGTTTTATAGCAACGTCGGATAATTAGATTCTTGGGACATAGTAAAGTCCTAACCACGACCTTCATTTTACAATAACCGACGTCAAATCCATAATTCAAGGCGTTTCCTTACTTCTTAACGACGGTTAGGCTAAACGCAATGACGTCTCAGAGATTACACACATCTAAGTGGCTCACAAAAGAGACTTTTAAAATGCCAACCACGTCAAAGCCTATAAAAACCGACGTTGTAAACAATTAACCACGTCCCAAAATGTGACTCCTAGGCCATAGTAAATGGATTAAACATGACAGATATTTTAATTAACCGATATGCAATTAAATCCATGTCGTTTATTTCTCTGTTCAAGCCGTCAAAATCATTTTCAACATCTATGGTGACCTAAAAGGTCGTGGTTATTTGTTTGTTACGTCAGTCCAAGTAAATATGTGCCATGTTAAAGCTTTCAAACGTCACTTTTTTTGGACAAAAGTGACGTCTAATTTACCATGTTATATGTTTTAGACGTCAGTTTTTTTATTTAGTGAACGTAGTATATATTAACCACGACGGTTTCTACGTTTTACACTTCGGTTTTATTTCAATTAGAGACGTTGATAATCATATTTTAAGTCAGGTTTGTAGTTTTTCTTGACATTTAACATTATTTAAACGTCTGTGTTTTACTAAAACTGTTGTCTAATATAGTCGAAGTTGTCTTTTTAAGCTATTTATGTATGAATTAAACGTCAGTTTTAGTGTTTTTTGTGACTTGTAATATATTAACGACGTCGGTTATTTTCTGTCGTTATTTTATGTATTAAAAGATGGCGGTCGATTTCACGTCGGTTTTAAAACATGCTACACGACGGTGGATTTCCGTCGTCTATTTCAATTTCTGTAGTAGTGATAAAACTAATTGATATTGTCAATCACAACAGCAAACTCCTTTTTTCTCCACTAATGGGGTATTTCCAATAGGACCTGGCAGCTCTAAAAGTGGATCTCGATAATCAGATAAGGAAGGTGTGAGGAAATTTCATTCCAACATGTGGTCTCCACTCCCATCATTTTACAACAACTTTATATTTTTCTGTTTCCCATTTTTTATTTTTCTGCTTTTTGTTAAATGAAATTTCTAACTTAACATAGGGGCTAGACTTTATGTTATGTCCGGACAAATGGCGGGGGCCAAGGGAAAACTAGACCACGCCAGTTTAGTCGAGGAAACACACGCTTTTGGGTTGAGTTATAATTGTATTAATATCTCAATTATGGAATGGGAAAGCAAAGAAAGCAATGACTGAGTTGAAAAATATAGAGATGGAGGAGATGGAGGAGGTTGAAAGAGTGGGAAAGGCATTGAAACGCACGCAAGGGCCATATCAATGGGCCATGTACGATAACTGGGAACGCCTAAAACGACACTACAGCGATAATCCGAGAGAAGTGCTTGTTCCATTGACGACGAACAACGACACTATACTTCACATCGTTGCCTTCGCCGGACGCAAGGACGTGCTGGAGTTTTTGATTTCACTGATAAAAGAAGCTCGGCAGCTACACCATGCGTTGACAATGGAGAATGGTCAAGGCAACACCGCTCTGCATGAGGTGGCTGCGACCGGAAACCTGGAGGCAGGAATGCTATGGGTGGGGCTGGATAATAGAGTTAAGATCGAGCTTGCTAGACTAGATCTTTCCCAAAACGGTGCGCATGGTTGTGCTAGCTATAAACGTGTGGTAGAGATTCGGAACCAGTTAGGAGAAACCCCACTCTATAGGGCTGCTGCTTTCGGTCACACAAAGTTGGCCAAATATTTGGCTACCCAAGTGGGGGTGGATGATATAGAGTTGCATTTCCAAAGACATGTAGATCAAGTATCCATTCTTCATATCGCAGTCATTGGACAACATTTTGGTCTCTCTCTTCAAACTGACAATTGCATTACTCTTCACTTTCATTATATATATGTATGTTATTTATGAAAAAAAAAAAAATGCATTACTCTCTATTTGTACTACATACATTTATTGCCGGTGGAGCCACATAAGGACCAGAGGGGTCCTAGGCCCCTACTCAACTCTCTCTCTCTCTCTCTCTTCCAAGCTATTTTACTCTCCTTTTCTTTCTTTCTCTCCCTCTCCCTCTCCCTCTTAGTGTAAATAATTTAATGTTGTGTGTGTACGAATTGAATAGATTATTGAAAGATGATAAAAGGGTTATATATACAAGAATCAAAACTTGACGTGTAAAAGCTGTAATTTAAAGTTTTTTTCTTGATTTTTACTTTAGGGGATATTGGCCCAAGGGTATGAAAATTAATGATAGTGTTTATGCTCTCATTCTCTTTATTTTTTATATTTTGCAAGAGGGATCCCTCTAACATTAATTTCTGACTCCATCATTAACTGATGAGTCAGCAATATGGTTAGTAAAGTGGTACAAATATGTCCTCCTATATCATAATAATGCTGTCAAACTATAAAAATGGATTATTTGAGTCTTGCTATAAGTTTGGCAAGTAAACATTTAGTCTATTATATTTGATTTTTTTTTTATTATTATTAATAACATGGTTTTCCTTCAATGCAGAGACTGCTCTTTGGTTACAAAAAGAGTACCAAAATCTCGCAGAAAGAAAGGAAAGTAATGGATTCACAAGTCTTCAATTGCTAGCCCGAATGCCATCTGCCTTCCAAGGAAAATTTCGCATAAGCAAATGGAAGATGCTCATTTATAAGTGTAAGATCTACTCTATGCCATACTACGTATTAAAATATAACATATATGCTATGCTGCATTTGAATTTTTCGCACTCCAAAAGTGGGGATTGTATTTACCAATAAAGTAGTCAGAAAATTTATATGGGACGGTTAGCTAAAGTTGGTTTTTTTTTTTTTTTTTCTAGTGAGATTCGACTTAGGCTTTCTTCCATCTGCAATCAGGTTTCCTATTTTGTTAATTATAATTTAGTTCAAAATACTATAAAACAATTTTAGGAGATCTTTATAAAATTTTAACTTTAACCATATACTCCCTAACTTAGGGAGACATAAATACTTAATTATCTTTTTATTCAATTCTTGCAATGATTTCACCTCACCACCACGGTGGCACTTGTTTTGTTAATAATACTAGCCCCTTGGCACATGCGTGGCCAATTGGTTTTCTTTTTTCCTTTTTATTTTATTTTTAGAATTAAGAAAAGATAATATGGGTAGTTATGTTCCATAAAAGTAGGACCTTTTATCTGATTTTGTTTTTATTTTTATTCTTCTAATATATAAAAAATGTGAATTTACCATATTATCCTCATTTACTTAATAATTTCAATTGTTAATGTTTTAATTAACCAAGGGCATTTTTTGGTATTTTGAATGTTTCACCATTCTATGCCTTTTGCTTTATATATAGACTAACCTCTCTACACGCGAGAGGCTTTTTTTAATCACGCACCAATAAAAGAACCACCTTTATCCCTTTTGGGGATTTTTTTAGGAAAACCCTCTCTCACAGCTTATGCCCCTCTCTGGAATCAGACCCAGAGCTCTGATACCATGTTGAATCCGTATCAAACTTTATATTTTAGGTTTAAAAACAAAAGCTGAAACCTTTAGGAGAAATATACGCAGAGAAAGAAGGATAGGAAACAGAGGATTTTGAATGTTCAGTATATTTCACTATAAAAAAATACAGAGGAATTACATGACTATATTCCTCTTCTTAGTCAAAAATTCAGATCCTATTTTTTAGGGAGCAAGGACTCATCTCCAGCCATACAGACCATAGGAGGCTACGATCTTTCCACTTGGAGAAAGATCGGATGACACAGTACAATCTAAATGGGATAAGAATGACAGCTGTATAAGTTTCTTAAAAAAGGAAACAAAACTAGTCGTTGCTAGCTAAAGAGCTAACAGCTATTCCAAAAAAAAGGCAAATTCTTCATCTCTTCAATTTCTTCGTTCTCTTCACTTCCAATCTGTAGGATTGTCATCTGCAGGTTGATTTAAGCTAAGTATGCAGCTTAATTCTCAACATTAACAAGGTTCTCTTCACTTTTGCTCCTCGTCTTTGTAATAAGGCTGCACATGTTGTTGCCAGTTCCGTAACTAAGCAGGGGTTAGTCATGTTTGGGACCATGTTGGTACGGAATGGTTGTTTGATATACTTGCAGAGGATGTAAACCTTGATATTCGTTTTTGATTTAGGACAATTGAGTTGGTCAGTTCGGTTGGTGGCGCCGTGCTGCAATCTTCGAAACTGTAAATTTAGGAGAAATTCTATGGTTTGACTGTCACACATACGATAACATTTAGGTTATATTGACACCACGAGAAACTGTATCTGCATATATGTGCATAATATATTAATAACGTAACGACAAATATATGTTAGAGTTAGAAAGTTAAATATAAAATAAAAATTCAATCCAATTTTCTGCCGCTGTTGTTTAATTAAGATTTGGATTATATGTGGAAGCATGCTGAAAAACTAATTACTATTTATCTATCTTTCCCAATCAATATCTCTCTGATGAATATGCATGCATGATCATAATAACTAGTAAGATGGCCACGAATCCGTATGATGTACAAGGAAACGCAGAAGCAAAAATCACTATTGGAACTCACTCATTTGCTGGTCGAGAAGGACCATTCATGGGTGGAAAGTAAAAAAAAGATGGATGGGACAATTTCCCTGGTGCCGTCACACGACAGAGGAGAAGAAGAAGAGACCAGATCTATTCATAAGTATACCCCATTGCTAATGGCAACCAGCACCGGAATAGCAAAAATTGTGGAAAAAGTGCTTCAGTTGCACCCTCAAGCGGCAGAGGCACACGACACTGATAATCAACAAAACATTCTGCACATAGCCATCAAGCACCGCCGGCTTCAGATCTTTAAGCTTGTAAAAAAGAGTAAATCAATAACGTTAAGGTTGGCTATGAAGACTGACCGTGATGGCAACACCATATTGCACCAAGCTGCATATATGAGATATTACTCTGCAAACACTCAACAAGGAGGCGGCCCTGCATTACAGTTGCAAGAAGAACTGCGTTGGATGGTGGTGAGTGAGTTACATACACCTTTATATAATTTTATTTTATTTCATTAATTGAAGTTCATCTACTAGAACATGCTTGCATGCGTTTTCTTGATTCATTACTGTGCTCTCGTAGATGAGTTTTGAACTCAGGACCTCCTCCAACTAGGTACATAAACTCCGTGGCACTACACCAAATTGACATACATGCATTTAAAATACAAATTTTATTAGTTCCCTATCCCCCAAATAAGAATAGGTAATGAAATTAATTATTAAATTCACTATGTAACTATTTTTTTTTCTAGAAAAAAACATGTATAAAATGTTTTAAATTATTGAAAAAATATGTATATATATATTTTTTAACAAGGGTTACATTGCAAAAAAGAAATACCAATTTATATTGTTAATTAATGTATTAATCCTTAACAATTTTTCCATTTGCGGCTAGCGTGTGGAAAAGATAATGCCACCTCACTTCATCATGCACCACAACCATAAGGGTCTGACAGCGGAGGAGCTCTTCAATAGTGAGCATGCAAAGCTTCTTCAGTCGGCACAAGAATGGATGAAAGGGACTGCTCAGTCATGCTCGACCGTGGCGGCTCTGGTGGCTACTGTTGCCTATGCAGCTGCGTACACGGCTCCCGGGGGTTATGATTCGAACGGGATTCCTCTTCTCCGGGATTCTGCTTACTTTGTCACATTCGCCATTACCGACACTGTGTCGCTTATCAGCTCATTGGCTTCTTTGGTCACGTTTCTCTCTATCCTCACGTCGCCGTTTGAGTACCAAGACTTTTACCGTCCTCTTCCGTTCCGGCTACATTTAGGGTTCACCCTTCTGTTCTTCTCACTGGTAACCACCATACTCACCTTCACTGACTCTGTTGTGCTATTGATTCATCTCAAGAAATGGACGATGTCCCTCATTTACGTGGTTGCATGTCTTCCTGTCCCTGTGGTTGGGCTCATGCAGTTTCCTTTGTATAAAGGATTTTCCCAAGGTTTGAAATACACTTTTAAGAAAATTAGAAAGATTAAATTTTCAATTTGCCCTGCATGAGGAAGCTGATATACATATGTAGTCTTGGTTTGAGTACGGCCTATTATTGAGTGGTTATTTGTGAACTATAGGTTGTAGCTTAAAAGGTCTATAAGAATGCAGCTATAGCTCTGAGTTGGAGTTCTCTCTTCTTCTTCCTCCGCGTTTTCCCCTCCTTTTTTGTATTGTTGAGAAGAATAGGCTTAAATAAAGTGTATGCCAAACAGTCTGTATGGCAGACCTATTAAGACGCATGGAGGCGCAAGTAAATGCCTTTGTCCTTTTATTTTTATTTATTTTTATATTAGTCCATTTACATAAGTTTACAATGTAAATAAACAAGTACCCCTTGTCACATCCCGGATCGGCTCCGCCGTAGCACGATATTGTCCGTTTTGGGCCCCCCCCTCTCTAGCCCTCACGGTTTTGTTTCTGGGAGCTCACGACCAACTTCCCAGTGGGTCACCCATCCTGGGATTGCTCTCGCCCCCAACTCGCTTAACTTCGGAGTTCCTACAACTCCGAAGCCAGTGAGTTCCCAAAATGCCTGGTGTTAGATGGATGCGGGTGTGTACATATAAGGCACATCAACCCCCTCTCCGTTGGTCGATGTGGGATCTTACAATCCACCCCCCTTAAGGGCCCAACGTCCACGTCGGCACATTCGTACCACACGGCAGAGTGGCTCTGATACCAAATTGTCACATCCCGGATCGGCTCCGCCGTAGCACGATATTGTCCGTTTTGGGCCCCCCCTCTCTGGCCCTCACGGTTTTGTTTCTAGGAGCTCACGACCAACTTCTCAGTGGGTCATCCATCCTGGGATTGCTCTCGCCCCCAACTCGCTTAACTTCGGAGTTCCTACAACTCCAAAGCCAGTGAGCTCCCAAAAGGCCTCGTGTTAGATGGATGCGGGTGTGTACATATACGGCACATCAACCCCCTCTCCGTTAGTCGATGTGGGATCTTACACCCCCCTTTTGGATTCAAATATAAATAATAGAAAATCAAATTCCCACCAAATCAAAATATGAAAAATCGGTTTTAGTGCAAAATACGATTTAGGCTAAAAATGATGGCTCATTAAGTCAATATATACTTCATAATAAAATCCCATAAAATCAAGTTTTCTTATTTGATGTGTAAGGAATAAAAGCAGCTAAAAATTATCTTGAGAAAATAATTATTCCGAGAAACCATTTTTCATACTTAGTCAATATTTTTACGTAAAACAATTTTTCATGTATGATATGAATGCATGAAGGGATAATATGAATGCACGAAGGGACCTAAAGTCAATATAGGTAAAAGGCCTTAAATGTTCAATCCACAAAGAGATTTTAGCTTTTTAAAATCGCACCTCCGCTAAAAAATTCCCGGGTTCGTCAATGTGTATGATGTTTTCATATGCAAAAAATATATTTTTATTTTAGATAAGATGTCAATCTACATTATATACTTGTAGTTACATAAAAAAAAAATTATGTATATTTAAGATTATCATTGTAAAATGAATTTTTATCTTCGGAAACTTAGGAAAAAAACACACCCAAAAAAAAAAGGCATTAAATTCTTTAAAATTTTAAAAATTCAAAGCTTGAAAAGAAAATCAACCAAAGGGAGGCCACCGATGGCAGGCCAAGGGATATAAACATTATGTATTTAAGATACAGTTTATATCAATATTGATACATCAAGTCAATGTATACTTTATACTAAAATCGTGTTTGATTATTTAAGTTGTAAGGAATATAAACCACCAAAAATATCATTGAAAACATTAGTATTTCAATAGTCCATTTTTCATACTTAGTCATATTTTTATAGAAAATAATTTTTCAAGTATGATATGTGGTAATATAGGTTGGCACAACTAAATATATGCATATCCCAACTAGATTGGCACTTACACACTTATCAATCACTTTCACTTTACAACCTTAAGGTACAAAAATAATGTTAGCATTATGTTAGCCTTACATAACTTTTAAACAATAATATAGATTACCACATATATCATACTTCAAAAATCGTTTTCTCTCAAAATTTGACTAACCTTAGCCTATGGGCCGTTCCCTTTCAAACCTTAGCCTAGCTCGGCCCAGCTCGAAAAAAGAAAAAGCTCAGCCCGAGCCCAAAAATTTGAGGCTGAATCAGCCTGACTCGATGACGAACCCTAGAAAAGACTAAGCATTATTACAGAAAACAAGAGTGAACTGACCAAATCAAACTAGTTTTGGCGGTTTGGTTCGGATTTTTAATTAAAAAATACAATTGAAAGAAAAATTGGTGAAACCGGCCCTAAACCAATGTCAAGTCAGTTTGATTTATCTGAAAGAACCTAACTGACAAAACACAGGAAAGAACCAGACCAGCAAAACACCGGAAAGAACTGAACCAAACCGGCCTCCTTTATTTCTAATTTTTTTTATTTAGAAAAAAAACCTTTTCCGCATGGCAATTTTAACTGGCCACACTTCAAAGTTACAATGGGCCTTCCCACACCAGATTCGATCTAATCCTGACCTCTCTTTCTTTCTTCTTCTTCTCTCTTATCTTCGCTTGTCGTCTCCTTCTTCTTTTTCTTCTCTCTGATTGCCGCTCTTTCTTCTCTCTTCTAGCGGCCTCTCTCTTCTCTTTCTTCTCCCTCTAGTAGCGAAGTCGTCATCTCCGTTCTTCTCTTTCTCCGTCGTCATCTTCTTCTATCTTCTCCTCAATCATTTTTGTTGCGAAATCATGGTCTTCTCTGCCGAAACTGCACCAATTTCTTCGCAAATTGACTGTAGGCGGTCTCTTGTCCCATCGGAGCGGCATTGGTCTCCGTAAAAGCGATACTGACGACATTTGGGCCAATGGTGGGTAACTCCCCGATGGCACAGTTATCAAACCGTGCTTCTCTTAACTCGGGCCTGCATATGAAGCTCGATAGAGGTAATTGAATATTTTTTTGTTACTACAAAGCTTAAGAAATTTTCCTACTTATATATTGTCAAGAAGAAGAAGCACGTGGAGCTATCTTGGTCGTGTGCCACTACCAAAGGTTGCCTTCAAATTTTAATTTTTTTTAAAAGTAAAGATATATCTCATTGTTGATTTTTAGCCCAAATTGAGTATGAGCATTTAACTTGTAGATTTGGTCAAAAACTTGGGCCGTCACATTTTGCAGATTTTGTCTCATGACAACACTGGCAGAAATTTGAGCCATGAAGAAAGTTGAGGTTCCACCCCAAAATCAATTAGCAATGGGGGGAGTAGCCCAACTCCTTATAAACCCAGGCTTGGTCCCTTAACTTTTCAATGTGGGACAAATACTCTCAAAACGCCCCCGCACGTATGGCGAACTTTCAAGCCTAACACGTGGACAACACATATTGGGTGACGTGGGAGCACGTGTGGCCTTTGGGCCCAACACGTGAAGCCTTGCTCTGATACCATGAAGAAAGTTGAGGTTCCACCCCAAAACCAATTGGCAATGGGGGGAGTAACCTAACTCCTTATAAACCCAGGCTTGGTCCCTTAACTTTTCAATGTGGGACAAATACTCTCAACAAACAAGCCAAAAACACAAATGGCTTCTTCAATAAGACTCCTAGGAATGGCTGTTAATAACCCAAAACACCAGCACCAAGGTGGTTTCCTTTGTCCTCCAACTTAACAATCCAAGCACCACAACACGAACAATGAAGGCAAGATGCTTATTCTCTTCCTTTCCAGCTCAAGAAAGAATTTCTCTCTCAAGAACAAATAGGATGCTAGGAGTGCTCTCAAGGAGGCTCGGAGATGCTCTCTAATGTTTCTCTCACAAAGCTCTTGGATCCCTAGTCAGACTTCTATATCCACATGGGTTGGTACACACTACAAACTCTGGTCCATCCGACTAGCCAAAATGGCTTCTCCAACAATGTGAGAATGTGAAGGTAAAAAGTCCCACATTGGAAAGTTGAGAAATTGGCAATGGGGGGAGTAGCCCAACTCCTTATAAACCCAGGCTTGGTCCCTTAACTTTTCAATGTGGGACAAATACTCTCAACACGCCCTCGCATGTGTGGCAAACTTTCAAGCCTAATACGTGGACAACACATATTGGGTGACGTGGGAGCACGTGTGACCGTTGGGCCCAACACGTGAAGCCTTGCTCTGATACCATGAAGAAAGTTGAGGTTCCACCCCAAAACCAATTGGTAATGGGAGGAGTAGCTCAACTCCTTATAAGCCTTGCTAGGTTTCTCAACTTTCCAATGTGGGACTTTTTACCTTCACATTCTCACATTGTTGGAGAAGCCATTTTGGCTAGTCGGATGGACCAGAGTTTGTAGTGTGTACCAACCCATGTGGATATAGAAGTCTGACTAGGGATCCAAGAGCTTTGTGAGAGAAACATTAGAGAGCATCTCCGAGCCTCCTTGAGAGCACTCCTAGCATCCTATTTGTTCTTGAGAGAGAAATTCTTTCTTGAGCTGGAAAGGAAGAGAATAAGCATCTTGCCTTCATTGTTCGTGTTGTGGTGCTTGGATTGTTAAGTTGGAGGACAAAGGAAACCACCTTGGTGCTGGTGTGGGTTGGCTTCTTTCTTTGATGATGTGAGGTAAACTTCTCTTCCACTACACAAGATTGTTATAGTAGAATACCTACGTGTACGTGCTCTAATTTTTTGGAGGAATCGTTCCTCGTAGTTATTGGGATGATGTAGGTTATGCAGTTGTCTATCTCTTGAACCATATGCCTTCTCGTGTTCTTGAGTTTCGGACATCGTTTGATGAGTTGGAAAAACATATTTTGTGGCCCTCAGTTTTGACATTGATGACAATGATCTTTGGTTGTGTGGCATTTGCTCATCTTTACAAAAATAAAATAGATAAGCTTATTCCGTTTGCATTGCTACGCTTCCATTGGCTACTCTCCTCATCAGAAAGGATATCGTTGCTACATGCTCCCACTTTTTTTTTTTTTTTTTGGTTACTATGGATGTTGTTGAAGTGAGTCTCCTAATTAATCAAGGAGATTTATTTCCTTGATTAATTAAGGGATTTACTTTCCTATTTTATAGAGTTGTCAAATCATTGTATAATTAGGAGATTTTGTCCTAATCCTTTACTAGATCTAATTCCTTGTAAAGCACTCATGTAAACTCTTATATATACCTCCTTATGGAGAAGAATAAAATAAGAACCTAACATATTAAACCCCCATATTCATATTTTAGCATGGTATCAGAGCAATCGATCCTCGGTTGTCTCTAAATTCTCATATCAAAATTTCTCCTCCCCC